TTTACGTTGTGTTCCTTCTGTAATCAGATTTCCTCCTATACTTACAAGCAGGTCTTGGGCTTCATAGAATCATAGAATCATAGAATCAAAGAGTTGGAAGAGACCTCATGGGCCATCCAGTCCAACCCCCTGCCAAGAAGCAGGAATATTGCATTCAATCACCCCTGACAGATGGCCATCCAGCCTCTGTTTAAAAGCTTCCAAAGAAGGAGCCTCCACCACACTCCGGGGCAGAGAGTTCCACTGCTGAACGGCTCTCACAGTCAGGAAGTTCTTCCTCATGTTCAGATAGAATCTCCTTTCTTGTTTGAAGCCATTGTTCCGCATCCTAGTCTCCAGGGCAGCAGAAAACAAGCTTCCTCTCACATATTTATACATAGTTATCATGTCTCCTCTCAGCCTTCTCTTCTTCAGGCTAAACATGTCCAGCTCCTTAAGCCGACCCTCATGTGGCTTGTTCTCCAGACTCCCTGATATCTCTAACAATGCCAAAAAAATGAAGCATCTTAGAATCACCTTTGCAGAACCAGTCCCCTCAGTTCTGAGTGGGGTGGATGTTTCCAACTCCATCATTCAAAATGGAGGGGTGGAACATCCTGTCATGAGACATACCAAAGACCCATGTGTGTGAGAACCAAGGTTGATAGTTTAGGTAGACATTACCAGTTGTTATATGTATCTGTCAAAGGAAACCTTATTATATCCCTGAGGGACAAGATAAAACTTGTACAGATTTGCAGATATAAAAGGTTGGAATATTCATTTGCTAATGTAAAAACAAGTAGGAGTAAATAGCTTCCTGAATGTAAGGTAGAAGAAAACATGTTAAACTATAGAGAAATCAACAGAAGAGAAGCCGAAAGCCCTCTATTTTCTGTATTTATGTTTTATTTTAGATTGACATGTAATTAGACACACACACACATATATGTCATTGCTGTTTAAGTATGTGTGTGTATGCTGTTATCTTTTATTTGTATTTTTTCTGTTAAAATTTTGAATTTAAAAAGTTGGGAAACCCAGAGGGGGGATGGGACATACATGTGAAAAGGATCTGGGAGTTTCAGCAGACTACAGTTCAATACAAGTAAAGAGTGTGACGTGGCAGCTCAAAAAGTGAATGTGATTCTAGGCTGCATCAGTAGGAGTACAGTATAGTGCCTAAATCTGGAAAAATAATGGTACCCCTATATTCAGCTTTGGTCAGATCTCACCTGGAATAACACTATGTCCACTTCTGGAAGTTCAAGAAGGATGTCAACTTACTCGAACGTGTCCAGATATTGGGGGTGGGGATGGGCAAATGGTCAAAAGTCTGGAAGCCAAGTGTAATTGATTGGCCTAGCCTAAAGGGTTGGTGTAAAAGGCAGAAAATAGGCCCAGCTTGCTAGAGCTGAGGACAGCTGAGGGGTGGAGCAATCAGGCAGTCTCTAAGCCAGAAATGCAGTCTGATTGGCTGATAAAATTGGAGAGAAAAGCTTAGTAGCTGGAGATGGGTGCAGCCAGAAGAAGATGAAGCAGCCATTTTAAGTTCAATTAGAAGTTTTGGATGGAAGAAACAGTTAAGAGTTTGGTGGTGAAGAAGGGTTAGGAGTATGAAGAGGATAGGAAGAGAATTGGGAACTGTTTGTTATATGATAGTTACCTCTTTGAGGACAATAGTTAATAGGCCTCTATAGTGTTTAGAGTGCTGTGGGAGGAAGGAAGATTTCAAAAGGTTTTTAAAGATTCCTGTTTGGATTTCTGTGTGTGGAACTTTGTTTTAAGAAACTCAAGATAAAAGTACCATCCTCTGTAAGAAGTAAAGCCTGACAAGTTATTTGAAACCATTACGCATATTGACAGTACACAATAAACAACATTTTTCTGTTTTATTCCAACTGAAGTCTTTGTGTGGCTTTTAAAACATTCCACTAAAGGAGGTGGCCTAAGAAAATAATAAATTGGTGGCAGCAAAATAAACCTTTATTAAATAATTTGAGGTAGCAAAGGCAAAATATATTATATGGTGTGTTGCAATCCAGAGCAGGAAACGAGACCCTAAGATAACAATCCACCACACTTGACTGTGAAAAAACAATCCTTTTTTATTGATGAAAAATGGTTACAAAATAGTGGAAAAATGCAAAGTCAAAAGCCACAGCAAAATCAGCAAACATGAATGTCCATGAACAAGATCAAAAACCCAAAGCCACACTGTAAATACTGGAACCTGTTAGCAATCCACTAACCGTACTTGGTGTCCTAGAAATCACTCAGGACGATGGCCAGGGGAACCGGGAGAACTGCCAAGGTAATCATCAATCTAAAATGATGCCTGAACTAAGAAAGTCAGCCCGGTGAAAGGCACTTAAAGCCAAGGAATCTGTATCGTGACACGCCTCCCTGCTTTGAAGCCATGTTTGTCTTTCTCTTAATCTAGCCGACCTTCGCAGACTAAGTGATTCACCCCTGTTTTGCCAAATCTGTCCTCTTCTATCCTCATTAAGGATCCCAGGTGCAGAAGGGAGTGAAAGGTCATTGCTTCCCTCTGAAACACTTTCATGAACACTGGTACTTTCATTTTCCAAATCTGCAGAAGTTTCTTCTTCACTAATTTCAGGATAATTGACGTCAGTAAGTACACTTTCATTAGCATCAGGAAATACATTTTCATTAACATCAGGAGGTACATTAGCATCAGGAAATACAATCAGAGAATCAGGTTCAAACTCAGGCTGAACCCCAACATGGTGGTAGGTTCCCACTGTCTGGATTTGTGTGAGTGAGGGTGCGTGTGTGTGTTTTCTGGTTCCTTCACGGCCTCGCCTTGGGCCAAGCCTTGTTGTTTGCCTTTTGTCCTCCGTCTTGGGAACGTGGAGGTGCCTTGTGGCAAATTCTGCCTCCCCCCCACCCCCCTCTTAGTTGCACCAAGTCTATGAGGAGAGGAGCTGTTGGAAATTACAAACTTCTTCAAGCCTTCTGTTTTCCAGAAGGGTATGAATTCCACATAAAGAAGAGAATATTCAAAGGGGACTCAAAAGCCACGTTTAAAGATTTGAAAGAATGTCACATTGAGGAGGAAGCAGGTTTTTTTCCCTGCTACTCTGGAGACTAGGACACAATAAGCAATGGGTGAAAATTGCTGGGAAAAAGATCCCACCTAAACCTTAGGAAGAACTTCCTGACAGTAAACGCTATTCAGCTGCTTCAGAATGTAATGGAGTCTCCTTCTCTGGAGGTTTTTAAACAGAGACTGGATGGCCATCTGTCAGGAGTGCTTTGATCATGTGCTCCTACATGGAAGGGGATCGGACCGAGTGGCATTTGAGTCTTTTCTCATCTAGATTCTATATAAAGATAAAAAGTTAGCCATTGAAAAATATGTTGGCCCACTGCCATCCACTATATACAGTGCAGGGGAGTATGGATTTTTCTCTTTGGGACCAAATAATGAGCTATTATAAAGCTTTGGAGCCATAAACAAGTTATTATAAAACAGATTAGAAATTACATTTTAACCTCAGGGTCAGGGCCAGCTCATCACTCCAAACAGGACCCCCTGGTGGCACAATGGGTTAAACCCTTGTGTCAGCAAGACTGAAGACTAACAGGTCTTGGGAGAGCATGAATGAACTCTCTCTGTTAGCTCCAGCTCCCCATGTGGGGACATGAGAGAAGGCTCCCACAAGGATGGTAACACATCAAAAACATCCGGGCATCCCCTGGGCAACGTCCTTGCAGACAACCAATTCTCTCACACCAAAAGCGACTTGCAGTTTCTCCTATCCCCCCTGACACACACAAAATGTTTAATACACAATATGGGATGTGAAATAGCCACATAACAATACAGGTCCAAACCTTCTACTTCTGCATAAGATGAAGGAAATTTCCCTTTTCTCGTGACAAAACTCCAATTTTTCCCACTAGATGTGCTAAACAGGACAGACTGGCAGCCACTTTAAGCAGTCTTTCAAGGCAGCAAGAACTGCAGGGAAAAATTTTGTTTAAACTTAAAAAAATTATTTATTATTTAGAACTTTTGCATCCTGTTCTTCTCTACCTCTGTGGAGGGACTCAGAATGGCTAACAGCAAAAATTCAATACTAGACAATAACTAACATTTTAAAACACTATACATAATGCAATAGGTAAAATGCATATGTTAAAATATGTATAAAACCATTCGCCAAATTAAAAACATTGTCCAGCTCAGTCTGCACATTGCAGTCCAATAACTCTTAGACTTTACCGGTCTCAGCTGTCACTCTACAAATGCCTAATTCCAAAGCCAGGATTTAAATTGCTTGCTGAAGGTCAGGTGGGAAGGGGCAGACCTGACCTCATTTGGGAGAGAGTTCCATAGCCGAGGGGCCAACATGGAGAAGGCCCTGTCTTTCATTCCCACAAAGCACAACTGTGAAAGTGTTGGGACCAAGAGCAGGGCCTCTCCAGAAGATCTTAACGCCCTTGATGGTTTATAGGGGAGAATATATTTGGACAGGTAAACTGGGCCGGAACCGTAAAGGGTTTTGTAGGTTAAAACCAGCACTTTGAATTGTGCTCAGAAGCTAATTGGCAGCCAGTGGAGCTGGCACAATAAGGGAGTTGTGTGCTCATTGTATCCCGCTCCAGTGAGCAACCTGACTGCTAAGCGTTGGACTAATTGCAGCTTCCTGGCAGTCTTCAGAGGCAACCCCACTAAGAGTGCGTTGCAGTAGTCTATTCGGGATGTAACCAGAGCGTGGACCACCGTTTCCATTTGGTGCCCTCCAGGTGGATATAATCTTATTAGAATCCTATAATTGCAGGTTTCTGTGTTGATTTACCTTAGGTGGGACACAAAGCTATCACATATAGTTCAACAGATCCTTTTGGTTAATAATGGCTTTCCTCCCAGTTCAGGCAAAAAATAGTTATTTTGGGCCTAGCAATAAGAATTTCTGATGCAAGCGCATCTTCATAGACACTTCCACAGGCATTTCTTTCCCTCATCAAACTCTGTAAGAGTTTCTTACCTTGTAGTCTTCAGCAGACGTTCCCAGAAGAATCACTCTATGATCAAGATGCTCCTTGTCGCACTTCTTACAGAAGGGGGTTTCGTCATCTGTACAGAAAGGCTTCAGAGGCTCCTGGTGTTTCTCACAGCCTCTCTCCTTGTCTTGTGCCTTCTTGAGTCCCTGCAGACTAAGTATTTTCACTTTTTCTACAATATTGGCTAGCTGCTGATTTGTCCTGAGGTTCTGTGATGAAACAATTTCTCTGCAGTGAGGGCAGGAGGTTTGTGTGTTGCCCAGCTTCTCCCAGGTCTGGGTCAGGCAGGCTCTGCAGAAGTTGTGCCCACAGTCTAAAATCACAGGATCCTTGAAATAATCCAGGCAAACAGGACAAGTGGCTTCTTCACAAAGATCCTGCAAGGGATCCTGTGCCCTTGGGGCATCAGCCATGTCTGACTTACAAAGAACACTGTTAATGTTACTTTACTTTGCATTTACTTGAAGAGCATTTCCTGTAAATAATTCACTCAGCATGTCAACATCAGCTTTTAACAAGGAGGGCACACCTTGGAGAACAAGTTTCTAGACAAATAACACTCTTTAAAAAACAACAAGGCACTAGTGTGTTTATTTATTTACTTAAAGAGGATCTTACAACCTCCGAGGATGCCTGCCATACATGCAGGTGAAATGTCAGGAGAGAATGCTTCTAGAACATGGCCATATAGCCCGAAAAACTACAACAACCCCATGATTCCAGCCACGAAAGCCTTCGACAATACATCCCACATTATCTTCTTTGTCTACACTGCCATATAATCCAATTCAAAGCATTATATGGTTTATTGATAGTCTGTTTTAATCTTCCTCTTGAAGCCCTTTCAAACCCAGCATATGACTGAAAACAATTTAACCTGAGATTGTTACGTCCCTACATTTTCAATGCTCATGGGTTATTTTAAGGCAGGAGACAAAGAGGAGAGTCTCCATACTGCAAGTCGCTTTTGGTGTGAGAGAATTGCCTGTCTGCAAGGATGTTGCCCAGGGGATGTCCGGATGTGTTACCATCCTATTTGAGGCCTCGCTCATGTCCCCGCATGGGAATCTGGGGCTGACAGACAGGAGCTCACCCCCTCTCTTAGATTTGAACCACCAACCTTGAGGTCTTCAGGGCAGCAGTTCAGCCAGCACAAGGGTTTAACACATTGCACTTAACTCCAGACAAGTTGAAAGGGTTGTATGTAAATCTCTGGCTCAGATATGAAAGTGCTTTTTAGGAAACTCAAGTTATAGACCATTCTCTGTACAGTAAAGCCTAATATTTTATGGAAACAATTACACATCTCTACTGTTCTTCTTTTATTTTCACCCGAAAAGTTTGTGTGTCTTCTTACACATTCTGGCAAGAAGGTGTCTTATGAAAGAATAGAAAGTGGCAGTAAAATAAATCTTATTAAATATTTGGTGGCAGCAAAGAAAAATATAATATACAGTGGTAGCATCCCACTGTCCTACCTTCTGTGTGAGAGTGTGTCTGTTATCCCTCAAGGCCTTGGCTGACCATACCTGTCGTTCCTTACGACTAAAAATAGTAAGCTCCTTTTATTGCAGGATGCCTGCTGCCGTAGATGCAGACGAAACATCGGGAGAGAATGCTTCTGGAACATGGCCATACAACCCAAAAAACTTGCAGCAACCCAGTGATTCCAGCCATGAAAACCTTCGACAATATATTTTATTTGCTGTTGCAGCTTTTTAAGTGGGGATGGTATCTATGGAGTTACTTATTTACCTTCCTTCTGGCTTGATCCTAAATTGGCAACGTATTCTTCCCAAACTTTTTCTAGCATGGAACCATTCAAAGGACTTTCCCCCACCACCCTGCCTCCCAAACCCAAAGTTCTTCCTTTCATCTATACCTACTCCTGAGTATTTCCTATAATGTAGTAGGTTTGGATATACAATATAACCTCAAACCTTAATTTTTGTGCATGAAAATCCTGTATCCTGTATATAACCACAAACATGTATTTTGGTACAAGGAAATATTGAATTCACACCTAAAGTAGTGAATGAAATTGTTTTATTTTTGTACCCAAAATACGAGTTTTAAAATTGGGCTTTATGTCCAACAGTTCAATATGTAAATCCAGGGTGGTATCCAACTTACTCCCAAATTTGTTTTTGGCGCAAGCACAAGCTGAAAAGCCAAATTCATATCAATAGTGGACACAAAGGGGAGCATTGATAAGTATTTCCTGCTACTGATAGATCTGTCAGTCCTGCCTGGTCATTTAGTGTACATCAAGGTTTCCACAACCAATGTGCCCAGTCACACATTTGCTATTTCTATGTAAAGTTTATTGTTTGTCCTCAAGTCAGACCTGTTGTTAGGGATTCCTCATCTTCAGAAGAGGAAGGGAGCTCAGGAATTGGAGGGGGAAGCCGATGAGGTTTTGCAAGTGCCCACATTTCTGGAGAGGCGAAAGGAAACAGAGCACAGACAGCATTTAGCTAGAATAGCTGCTAGAAACGCCGAGGTAATTGGGAGCCACCCTAGCGCCTCCTGCATGGGGAATTCAGGGCTATAAATCAGAAGCAGGAGTAGTTAGCTTTCACTGGTAACAACGACTCTGATGCTGATGTTCTCACTCCAATTGAACGTGCTTCGAGTCTGCTTCTAAGGATTTAGTGATCATTGTCAGTTGTCTGATGTAAGACTGCTGTTTCTTTCGGATTTCATCAGAGACTTTAGTTTTGTGTCTGCATTAAGACTTCCTTGCTTCTTTTTTTTTTGCATTTTTAACTGCATCTACTGTTCTTTTGTGTTTGCAGAAGTAAAGCATTTTCCTTTTACTTTCAACCTTGTATTAAGGCTGTTTTTGAAAGGCAAACCAGGTCACCTGTTAATAAATTTTGTCAATCTCCTTGCTAAAGCTTTTACTTTAAGCTTCCGGACAGGTTTTCTTCAAACTTGCTGCCTGCTTCTGAATTCTGAATTTACCAAGTTCTGGTTTGCCTGAATTAGCTCTCCATTCAGCTTCGCCAAAGAGATATTCATTCCCTTGATTTTCACTATTCTTTCCTCAGTAATCTCAATTCATTTCAAATTTGGGTTATCAGATTTCAACGAGACTGTTTTCTGCTGCCCTGGAGACTTTACTTACTTAGGCAATCCCTCGTTGTCCGAGTATGATGGCCTTCCAAGTGTAGGGTCTTGGTGGTGGGTCCGTAGGTGACTGTGAAATCCTATTCTTAAGATGCATGTTCTTCTACAGTGAGGTCATCAGTTTCCAGGTGGAAAGAGGTCCTGGTCAGGGTTGGCTTGATGCGCTTTCCTCTTTGCATGTTTTTCCCTTTCGTCCTCCATTTGTGTCTCTTCAAATTCACAAATTACTAAAACAACAATTTTGCTAATGAAATGGCAATTTCTCTACTGAACTGTTCCCAAACGGTATTTGTTTTCTGCAGTGGTACTATGGTGATGAAACTCTTGCAACACAAAAATCCAAAGGGAATTATATAGAAGTTATAAAGTCGTGCACAAGCTGTTTTTGAAAATCTGAGTCCTAATTTCGAGAACATGTAGGGCTTCCCAGAAAACAAATCCTGAAGTTCTATTTATACCTTAAAAATTACTTCAATTAAAGGTCATGGAAGAGAGAATACTGAGAATGCATCTAATAATTAAGATTGTGAAATTTGTGTGTAGAAACGGGGACATTTCTATATGTGATGAAGTCCTTTGTCTTTAAGATGTGTCATTCCTGAAAGCCTTGACATACCATACTAGTAATATTGTGAAACTTGCTAAAGATTTGCTTGATTCTTGAAAGCAATAGATGAGATTACATCTGGTTATAGTTAATTCAGTATTAAGATAAAAGCCCAAATGAACATGACTTAAAATGCCTAAGATACAGAATGAAACAGTGCTCAGATATAACATACCTGTGTTTCTCTCTGACAGCAATTATATATGTGTGTGTGTCTGAAGATGTAGGGCCCTTCCAGATGAGTCCTATATCCTAGGATCTGATCCAAGGTTTTCTGCTTTAAACTGGATTATATAAGTCTGCACTGCCAGATAATCTGGTATAAACAAAAAACTCACAGATGTCAAAATATTCTGGAACTTGTAGACATCAAAATATTTAAGTGAAGTGTTGATAATAATCTGACATGTCTGGTTTAACCACTATCATATATTGGAAGCTTTGTCCAAAAGAAGTTGCTGTTGTGTGTGTGTGTGTGTGTGTGTGTGTGTGTCAGTTATATAGTTTAGTCTCTTAATTGAGACCAAAAATGGCTGACAACTTTGAAATCAATGTAATTTTAAAGTCTACAAATATAAATATAAAAATAGAATTAAACCTAGAGTTGTTAAAAAAAATACAGTAAAATCCCATAAAACCATTTAAAAGTCTTAAAATTAGTAAAATACTACATAGGACCCTTTGGTTCATTCTTAACATTTTTAAAGTTGACCCTAGTGACCTAGAGTTAGCTGAGATGTGGCAAAAACATTCAATCCAAAGGCATAAAGAAAAGGAGTAGGGAACTTTATCTTTTTCAGTATATAATCCTGCCATTCTGAATTTAATAAAAGTTAACGTTGATCAGAATCAAATTAAAAACAAAAAAATTGGAAAATATATTTAGAAATACTAAAGATGGTTAAAAACACAACTTAAGAGTCACTAACATTCAGTAATATTTTCTTCTTCAATGAGATGTGGCCTACAACAGCCTTTGCCATGATCCATTATTAAGGAGTATTAAATCATAGAATCATAGAGTTGGAAGAGACCTCATGGGCCATCCAGTCCAACCCCCTGCCAATTGAATACAAATTTATTTATTTATTTATTTATTGTATTTATATTCCACCCTTCTCACCCCGCAGGGGACTCAGGGTGGATTACAATGTACATATACATGGCAAACATTCAATGCCATAGACACACAACATAGATAGACAGACACACAGAGGCTATTTAACATTCCAGCTTTTTCATGAGGGTATTCTGGCCACCAGGGGAGCTGTTGCTTCACCATCCATTTGTGACACTGATGAAGTACTTCCTCATTCTTTGCATGCTTGCTGGAGATTTTTATGGTGTTGTAAATTAGCCTCCCCGCATAAGTGGTACCTAAATTTCCTACTTGACAGATGCAACTGTCTTTCGGGCTGCAAAGGTTGATAGCAAGCTACACAAATTGGTCGGAAGCTCACTCCGACCCGGGCTGGCTTCGAACTCATGACCTTTTGGTCAGTAGTGATCTTAATGCAGCTGACTCCCAGCCAGCTGCATCACAATCCCAGTGCAATTGAATACAAATCAATTATCATGTATTAAGAAAATCTAATTTTTGTAGTTTAAGTATATACAAGCAAAATCAAGCAATTTCATTAGACAGACAGATGTACATATAGGTAGATTAGTGGT